CTCTATCTGTCCTAGAATCACAACAAATTAAAATATGGCAGTTATTACTGTGTATAATATAATAAATCTTTGTCGACATTATGATTCAGAAAGTGTAGAAGATGAAAAATAAAATTGAAAAATTATATATATCAGAGGTTACACCCATGCTTGAAAGAATGACATGAATTTCATAACTACGATACTCTAAGGTTACATTAGACTCCCTCCCTCGTAAGTTTAATCATCCATCCAAAAGATGAAAAAATACACGTCGTCGAACATATATATAGTAGCGAATGTTCACACCTGTAAATGCGTATAGAAACGTCGTAACATTGGAAATAACCGAGGAGCAATATATTCACATAATCGAATCGAAACAAAATGACAAACGAAGAATTCACCAAAAGCATAAAGCCTGGTCAAGCGTCTAGACAATCTTAAATCAATCCTTTGCCATATAATCAATTAATTTTGATGATCTAACAACATCCTCCACTAGATGGTTGAGGTACTGATGTGCCTGGACCAACTTTAAGAGTTTGAGTGGTGGTTCCAGGGGAAACAGTTGTTGTGCCCATCCTGTTGTCGATCGAGGTTACGTACGTGCGTGCGTTAGGATCAGATGTTGGTACAGAATAAATGAATGAAAAAGAAAAGATGATGACTCAACCTGTCTTTAATTTGCTTGGCCATTGTCAAGAAGGCTTGTTCAACGTTCGTTGCATTCTTAGCCGATGTTTCCAAGAAGGGAATATTCAATTGATCGGCAAATTCCTGACGAAGGAAATTTGGGTGTTGGCAGGTCCGCGATATCCGCGATAACAGGAAAAAAGTGACACACAGAGCATATATGTATATATGCACCTACCTTTGCAACTGTGTATTCCACGACCTTCTTGTTCTGCAAATCACTCTTATTTCCTACCAATAATTTATTGACACCTTCGCAGGCATAGCGATCGATTTCCTGAAGCCATTGTTTCACATTGGTAAAGGTGTCCTGGTCGGTGACGTCGTAAACCACAATGATCCCATGGGCACCACGATAGTAAGAAGAGGTGATCGTTCGGAATCGTTCTTGACCTGCGGTATCCCACTAGAAAATTCAACCAAAAGAGGGTTTAGGACGTTGAAAATGCGTTTTTCTGAAAACAACGAAAGGAATCCAAAGGCATTCTCACAATTTGTAGCTTTACGGTTTTGCCCTCAAGTTCGATGGTACGAATTTTCTATTGAAAGAAGAGAAGGAAATCACGATTATCACCAATTTGCTCGAGATTGCGAACGTCGAGAGAATGAGAATTGCATGGATCGTAGCATGTGAATCCCACCAAAATTTCAGGAAGCACAGATACTCACAAAATCTACGCCGATGGTACTGATATAACTCTCCGTGTACGTGTCGTCTGCGAATCGAAGAAGCAGACAAGACTTGCCGACGCCAGAATCACCGATCAAAAGGAGTTTGAAAAGGTAATCGCTAGATGATGATGAACATGAAAATTGTTGCGTCAGTTTTTTTTTTCAAGCAGAGATTGGATTGGGTCACCCATAATAGCACAACTACGTAAACGGGTTTTTTGATTATTGCGTGGCGCAGGAAATTAGGGATGATGAGAAAGTAAACCGTGCTACAAATTCCAAGGCCACAGAATATGTTTTGACGACGAGTTCGTCTCTATTGAGAACTGCCATAACCACCCATTCGTTTAACCGTCTCAACCAACCCTCTCCTCGAATCCCCAGGGCTCACCACCTCAAAGAGTAAATGGGGAGGAAACCCTGGTCCTTAAACTTTTGTGAAGCGGGAAAAAATAAATTTCCTACTTACTACTCTGGATTCATGCTCATGCTGGTAGTTATTAGAAGCGCAAGGTCTCTTTATGGAAATAGAAAACACAAATGGAGATTGGGAGGGAAACGCTTTATGCCAACTGATACGTAAGTTTGTGACGATAACTATAGTACTATATACGTACACACGCACTGAAACAACAATCAACCCCCAAATTCTGAAATATGAATATATATGGTTGCAATCACACACAGTATATAATAATTAGGATATTTAGGATATAAGGATATACGTGATTAGATATGACGTGTGGCGAAGACCACCACTGAAGCGAAGCCGCTTCATGTGATTATAGGATCTTCTTTTTTTGAATCATTGTGCCGTAATCATTACCTGATTGTTTGATTGACTTTTTACACTTATCCTGATTTGTACAATTTTTCTTTAGTCAGTAAAGATGGTTATTTTCTTTTTGG